CTGAACCATACCTGGACTTACCTGTCTTAATGCTACCCTGTATGGCCTATCTGAACCATACCCTCACTTACCTGTCTTAATGCTACCCTGTATGGCCTATCTGAACCATACCTGGACTTCCCTGTCTTAATGCTTCACTGTATGGCCTATCTGAACCAGACCCTGACTTACCTGTCTTCATGCTACCCTGTATGGCCTATCTGAACCATACCCAGACATGCCTGTCTGAATGCTACCCTGTATGGCCTATCTGAACCATACCCTGACTTACCTGTCTTAATGCTACCCTGTATGGCCTGTCAGAACCAAACAGTGACTTACCTGTCTTAATGCTACCCTGTATGGCCTGTCAGAACCAAACAGTGACTTACCTGTCTTAATGCTACCCTGTATGGCCTGTCAGAACCAAACAGTGACTTACCTGTCTTAATGCTACCCTGTGTGACCTGTCAGAACCATACCCTGACTTACCTGTCTTAATGCTACCCTGTATGACCTGTCATAACCAAACAGTGACTTACCTGTCTTAATGCTACCCTGTGTGACCTGTCCAAACCAAACAGTGACTTACCTGTCTTAATGCTACCCTGTATGGCCTATCAGAACCAAACAGTGACTTACCTGTCTTAATGCTACCCTGTGTGACCTGTCCGAACCATACACTGATTTGCCTTTCATTATGCTACCCAGCATGGTTGGTGTAAGAAGACAATACTGTCTAAATTATCATAATACTACCATGTATGACATGTCTGAAGAAAACATGGACAAATCTGTCTTTGTGCAACACTGTATGACTGGTCTGAACCAATTACTGACCAATCTCTACAGGTAATCCTGTATGACCTGTCTCAACTAAACATTTGATCAACCTGTCTAAATTCATCCCTGTGTGACCAGTATGACTTACCAAAAGCCAACACTGACTAGCTTCTTATAATACAAACTTGTATGACCCTCCAAATCAAATCCTTCATATCGTTTACACATGAATTATTCTTCCTGAACACTTTATCAATTGGGTATACAGATATTAGAAATATCATGAAATTTTAGAAACAAAATGATGAAGATGTTGATATTGATTTTTTTAGAAATGATAGACTGGAGAATGAATTATTTAAACTTCTCCGTACAGAGATTGTTTTCTTTTGAGTTGGTATCAATATTATTGACTTTTTATTGTAACTTCCATCACACACAGAATAGTCTGTTTCATCTCAGAATATCATTTCCTTTATTAGGTTTAATCTTTTTACCTTTTCAGATATGAAAAGGATATTTATATGTATGTATAAGTGTGGTGCATTCACAACACTGGTTCTTCCCAAATCCTTTGAGAATCAACCACAAAATATTTCTTCAGATGAAACCTTGCAGTTAATTCATTCCACATCAGTATTCTGATTTTCTTGTCGCTACAAACTTTAAATTAACATAAACAGAATATAGCCAAAAAAAAAAAAAAACAAAAACAAAAACAAAAAAACTTGATTATGAAACATGATTTTATTGGTCTTTGCCTCTTGTTGTGATATCTTAGGACAATTTCTCCCACTGTTATCATCTGTTGTGATATATCATATTACTTTCATTGCAACAATATTCCTAAGATTGGAACAAAAGTGTTTCCACGAACATTTTCCTGTCCTTACTAAGTTTCACAGTGAAGAAGACTGAAGTTGATACTTTATTTGTATCTGGTACAAAAAAAATATCAATTTGGATCATCATATTAAGGGTCGCCCAGGTAACCAACGTTTGACATATAAAGATATTACCTGGTTATTGTATTATGCTCCATGCCGACAAATGCTACTTGTACTGTTAAGTCATTTGGTTTCCCAAGTGGACCAGGATAGATGTGATATATTTTGAAGAGAGATACCACTATATTAAGATAATTTTTCACCCCTCATCTTTGTAGTATCAAGTTATTCTTTGTGAATCATTGAGGTGCTGTAGGACACAGGGATTTGGCATGAATTCTGAACCCGAGGTCAATGTAAATGTATTATAGTGTTACTATAATACATATATGGACCGTGAGTTGAGAATTTGTGCCAAATCCCTGTGCTGTAGGATGTAATATAGAGAATGTTTTATTTCATTTTTGTTGTTGTAAAAGGTTGTAGGTTTATTGTTATATTTGTCTTGTATGTAAATTTAAATATTCATTATTTATCAATTATGTTCATTTCAAACCTGATATTGCTGAACGTCCATTAAGACATTCACATTACATTGCATGACTAATGAACATTTGCCTACAAACTCTTATGTCGACACTACCTCACTTTACGTATAGACCAATAATTTTTCTCTATACACTGCGAACCATGGGTCTAATTGTGAATTTCTCCATCATTAGCAATTCAAACTGCAAATCTTTAGAGAATTCTTTAAAGTAACTTATACTTTGAAAGATGGATGTTAGCTCTTAGAATAATGTATTGTAAAATTTCAACATGTTGATCAGTACAAAAGATCTTAATCAATATGAGTATTTTTTTTTCTCCCTTTACTTGTTACGTATATATTTGCCTGTGTTTGGTTCTAGAAATCTGGTACATAGTTAAGAATATCAAAATCCACAATAGGAAATCCTATGTTACTCCTATATCATATTACAAAACGTTTTCAGACAAAAAAAAACCATGATTGTTCATTTTATTTCACATTTTTTGTCGAGAAAAAGAAAAGATATAAAAGGAAATATTTAAGTAGAAAGTGTTAACTTACCATTACATACAGCATCTCTCGGGCAATAAGCCCATGCTTGGTGATAAGCCCACCCATGTGTAATATATTTATCAGTGTCCAGTAAAAATATAAACTAATACTGGATTCCATTGCTGTTTCATTAGCATCCCCCTCCTCCCCAGCCTCCTACTGTTGGGTATTATTTCTTGTCAGACTTAGTATTGTATACTGTAGGAAGAATAGGAACAATGTTTAAAGGAACTTCCTCCTTTGTCTTTAAATAATTTAATAACAAATATTCGTTTAAATGTGTGGAGAAATACATGAAGTTGCACATTTACAAATGATATAAATCAGTGTTTATTTACAATACTCAGGACATATATGTTTATTTGAATAGATCTGTATATTCTGTAAATACACTTCATTTAGTCTTTTATTGTGTAAATTGAGTTTTAAAATGGTTTGAGTTGAATTTAAACAGAAAAGTTTTTTTTTTATTTGTTTTGTTCAGATTTGGTACACCATTATTATTGTGTGTACAGGTACACCATATTGGCGCATACAGGTAAAGCATTGACAATGATCATATTCACACAGATATAAGTTTTTTATTGATTCAAAGTTTTGTGAACTATTAACTGATCCCTAACTCCTCACAAGTAAAATCCCATAAAAGACTGTAATTTATGTTATGATATGAAATCATTTTGTTAGGGTGTCTTACCTGTACAGGTTTTACCAGAGTTCCATATCATTGTTGTTTGGAGGTCTAGTTTGAATGCTTAGTATAATAATGAGATAGCGGGTGGAATGGAATTGATTTTCATACTAACTGATATTGGTTTTGCATATTCAATACATTATGATAATCAGTCTAGAGGTAAAGACATCCATTAAAATCATGACATTAGAGATCGACAAGTCAGTTACACCCTGTTGTGACTAAACACCCAGAAGTCATTAGAATGAAACCATGGTTACACAAAGCAGGTTGTCTGTTATACCTAGCCTACCAGCACTTAATATTGATGTATAGTAAGCACACATAGTGTCACTGAACACAGTCCATTAAGTTTTCCTTACATCTGTTATCAGATAAAAAAAACATCTAATGTTAGCCATAGAATGATGCAATATTATTTTGTAAATGTCAGTGGTTTCCTGAAGCAACATTTGTATTGTTAATTTGGCAGTTTTTACAAATATTCTTCTGCAATTTAATTATGAAAAGTTATTACATATAAATTGGATGTGTGGATATGTATTTCTGTTATTTTTTGTTGTTGTTGTCGTTTTTTCCACAAATAAACTGATTTAGTTTATACAAATGAGTATTTCTAGGGCAACTTAATTAAATGTCAATCTTTTTATTTGGCACAATAATCAGAAGAAAAGACAAAATAAAAAAGTATTGGTCCACTGAATCAATGGAGAGATATAATTAGAATCTAAGAATGATTTTTGTTTATATTGAATCATTTTATTTTTAAATTTTATAAACAAACAATGGAACTTTGAACTTCGAGAGATATTTTATCATTAAAATCTGCTGTTCAGCTAATTGTTATATCAATATTTTTTCATTCATATCAATACCAGAATTTCTATAAATAATGGCCCTGCTTTATTTTTACTGCCTGTGTTTCTGTATATGTGTAGGGACAATGTTCACCTTAACACTGGGTCATTATGTGGTCAGCATTATAGCTTTACCTTTAAACACATACAGTAACCGGGTAATTAGATCAAGAGATTGGGATCAGGGTACGTGTGTATTTTATACAGACAGACCTATCCTCCGACTAATTATATACCTGTTTGGCATTCCGAGATTATTTCATGGAGATTACCGGGGTAGTTAAGATCTTGGAGTTAATCTGCCTGAAACAGATTAACTCAACAATGTTTCGAAGTGTCAGAACATTTCCACTATATGTACACACAGGGACCTATCATAATAACCATTTTACTGAACCTTTTTTCTCGGTAATAATACAAGTTTACAAATTTTGGTTAGGAATTTTGATGAATTGTTTGTTACAGGGAAAATGACTTACTAATAGATAAAGAGGAATGAAATGTTACTATATTGGTTAAAAAGTTAGAGGCAATAATGTACTTTAAAAGTTTGTGCTGAGTAGGTTGAGGAATGGGGAAGTATGGGTGGGGGTTTACAAAAAATAATGTACTGGGGAGGATCTGGGGTAAATAAAAATTATATTGAGTAGGGAGAAGCTAAGGAGAATCCATGTCTGTTAAAATGTTTTTAAGACATGTCTGATATGTCTTCACAGGCGGCATCGTTGTCCCCATAACAAAACCAACGTCATCAACAAGACAAATCAGCCATGTAACCTGACAGAGTACACCAATGTGTACAAACAACATCCCATGGTTCCTCGGGAGAGCTTCAAACCTGCCAACGAGGCCATGAAAGGGGGACAATTCGAGGATGCAACAACACAGAGGTGAGTTAGAATTACTTTTATATATATGACAATTATTGATAAGAATCTTTAAGATGCTTTTATTGGGAAACTAAGACATCATAGATACTTTGTAATAAGTAGTTTAAGATAAGAGCTAATAGTATTCATAAATGGAAGCCAATGACACTTCAGTTGAACAACTACCCCATTCTGATTGGGCAAAAACCCATGTCTGGTGATAAACATACCATATATTTTATATTCAATGGCATATAAAACTAAGACTTTCACATTATTCTGTAATAAACCAACCCCCTGACTTTTAGTGAAAAGACATGAGGTGACACCCTGGGCTTATCAAAGGACACGTAAAATGTAAATGACTTGTAATGAGAGCCTTCATCCCTCAGATTTTTTATAGGATCTAAAATATAATAGACTTTTTAACATACAAGTTAATTCGTAAATTTTGGGAGCCATAGACACTGCAGTCAACTTGTACCATCGCCATAAGACACTCCTTTAAACTGAATGTCATGTGATCTTACTTAACAACACGAGAGTCGAATGGTGATGAGAGACTTTACAATCCACACATGTATTGATAAGAGAGAGAGAAAGGTACTAGATTATTTGTAAAAAGAGACTTAAGAGGCAGTAGAGGCTTAAAATTGCATACAGCTAAAATGACCAACAGACTGGGTAACTGTAAATCATTTTTATGGAAAGTCAAAGTCACAAGATTTTATTGATATCAGCTTGAGACACTTCAGTTTATATACCAACAACTTTAAAGGCACTTTAGATGATTAATAATGAGAAGTTAAGAACGTAGGACACAATTTTGTCTATAAATACAAGCCTTAAAGCAATACAGTTTTTATATCCACAGCTACAATGACAATATGGAGGATTGATAATGAAAAGTTTAGACAAAATTGAAATCATTATATTTTGCAATTAGTGACAGAGTTTCTATTCTGTGCAGATTCACACACGGTAATCTGGATAAGGAGCTTGAACTTGTAGTAATTTCTTTTGGGAATAAAATCAAACATTACTAGTACCAGGAATTATTTATTGACAAAGCTGATGTGCCATTTAGTATGATGTTTACTGTTTCTCTTTATACCTTTGTCACTGTTCCTATGGCAGCATGATCTGTTTAGGTAAATTACACGATGATATTGAGTAATTTAAGTCAACATTACTTCACAGCCCTGCAGACTCGCAATCTCTATGGCATCATTCATTATCAAATATTTATGGTTCATTTATATGATCACATAATGAATTTATTGATAAGTAACAAGACGTCCCCATCTGTTTCATGCATTCCCTTTTGACGTGACCAGATTATGATTGTCTGTATGACCTTATTAGTTTTGTCTAATAAGTTGATAAAAGTTGTAGATGTTATGATTAAGTATGTTATATTTTTCCTGTTATTTTGTCTGTGTGAAAATCCATTACAGATAGATATTTAAATTAACAAGTGGTTTCTCTGTAATGAGAACAAATGAAACAATGATCAAACTGATGGACATCTGATATACCATGAAGGTTAAACAGAAAATAATGACAAAATATGAAAAAACTCCACTCAGGGGAAAACATTCTGAAGGTGTCTCCTGGTTTTGTCGTTGTTGCATAGCATTGTTAATGGGATATATATTAGCTGGTTTAATTGTCTTAAAATGAACAATAAATAAGTTTGTCTAGGATATAATAAATATAATTTTTCAAAAATTATACCTCCATCAGTGTTATCAAACTATAAAAGAATTTTGACCTCACTAGGAGGTCTGCAGTTGTACGTTTGTTGTGATGTTCTCATATTAGTAGTCCCAGTGGGTGACAGCCTAGTTTTATTATATGTAAACACCTGAGCTAAGCTAGCTGACCACCGACCTGCTGGACATTAATAATTGAGTTGTTGATCAACAATGCTGAGGTTCTATGGAGACAAACTCGCCCTGAACCATCACAGAACGCTGCAGATTCCTCAGCCTCATTATTCATTCATAGATACTATGAGTTTGATAGGATGGATCTGTGGGAGTTTAAGTGGGGTAGAGGGTAAAAGAGGGCAATTAAATGCTAGAAAAGATTTCTTGAAAAAGATACCTTAATTTTTAATCACATTACATCTGTTTATCTTGTTTGTCCACATAATAATACTTAATGAATGAATTCTTGGAAAATGTGAAAAATCACAAGAGTAGCTTATGCACAATATGTGTTGGTAAACCTGGTCAGTTTTCCCACTTTGGGCCCCAAGTGTGGTAGTTCTAGATGTGAAATAATTGTGCTACCTGTGTACCTGTATGTCTATTCATAAGCATCGGCTCCACTCTGCAGATTGGCACCAAGATCCACATTTTATTGTGACATAGTCTCTTGGTCAAGTACCACTCCAGTAATTAATAGTGTCTCCTTACAAAATGTCTTTGAGCCTTGGAAGATCTAGACAAGATTCTACTGATGATCAGTATCAGAAAAGATATCAAGATTCTCTCCGTTCTGGTATTAGAGACTTCGAAGGGTTTGATACCAAACTTGAGGAGCAAAGCCGAACAAGAAATCACCACGGTGACAGAAATAATGGATCTCCGAAAACTAAGAGTTCTTGGTTAGTTTCTGATTCATCAAATGGCATTCCACAGAGAGGAAGGCAAGGCGAGAGAGGCAAATTTGAATCTGTCAAGGCACCATACCTTGTAGATGAACCTGAGCTGAAATTGTCACAGAGTCCAAAACACCAGGGTTCAGATGATGGTTACTTCAGTGCTAAGGAAGAGGGGGGAATATTATCTCCCCGAGCCACTGGTGACAAAAGAAAAAATGGACTCAAACAGAAGGAGGAAGTCTACAAAAAATCTCCTTACTTCATGGAGGAGGTGGACAGGAATTCCTATAAAAGAGAAGGGGTTGCTGGTACCCCAAGACAACAAGGTCAAGGCCGGCAGGAAAAATCATTCCAACCAATATCACTCAAAAACGATGCTGGTCCACAAGTTTCCAGCAGTAGGAGTATTGATAATGGAGGCAATAAGAAAACAGGTTATCAGGCTTCATGGGAAACATCACGCAGCATGCCTCAGTTAGGGGGAGGTAAGGCTAGGCAAGGAGAGCGACCAGAGGACATCAGGAAAGGTGCCCCATATCACACGGACGACAGTAATTCCAGATACCAAGAGAAAACCTTTATTAAGGGTCACCAGGGCAAGAAGGTAAAATGGCAGGATATCAGTGACAGTTCTCCCTACTGTTACTGGGATCAAGTAAACAAACCACAAACAGATGTACCTAAACTGTGGCCGACAGATGAGCTCTCATCAACTAACAACAGTAATGGAAGAGAAATTGCAGGAAATGACCGAAAAGTCTGGAATAAGAACCAGTTCATGTCTCCAAGGGAGAAACTGAGTCTACAACTTATAGATACATGTGATCGTGGGACACAGACAAGCATCATTGCAGTGGAGGATGATGATTGGTTACAGGACAGTAACAATGATGATACAACAAGGCAGCACTATAACCCCCAAAATGGTCAACAGGATGGCTACACAAATGGGAAAGTCACCAGTATGTTTGCACCTAATGACGTTTTTGGTGTCCGATCTGAGGGCGTTCGTGCCTAAGACTGGAAGGAATTTATAGCAGTATGTGATAAGGGTAGGACAGAAGAGTTCAGATAATCCTGATGTAGTGTAGGGAAAGGACAAGTGGTGTACTCTTACTGAGATGGATATGTAAATAGTGACACACACTGGCAGCAGGTAACATGGTGACTAATAACCAATCATTTTAGCCTCGTAGAAACTTTTGATGAAACTTTTCCTGATACATTCTCTTTGAAAGACATAATGATCAAACTGTAGAATGTTAATCTAAGGGTCAGTGTTTTTCACCTAAAATATTATTATTTAAAGAATTTGTTTTACTTTTTATCCCTCACATTTTATGTGTGATTTTACCTGTTGTGACAGTGTTTGAGATGTTTTATAAAGGTAATCATTGTATGTGTCACATATTCCTTATCAATCTGTTATTTCAATGAATTCTTGTTTTGTCTACCATGCTAGTGTATAAACTCACCAAAGCAATAGTGAACTAGCACTGAATTGCTAGTCATATCTTGCTATAGTGAACTAAATTTATGTTGTTTATATTTTACCTTAAGCTTGCTATAATGAACTAGAACTATATTACTAACCGTTACCTTGCTTTAGTTAACTGAAATTTATATTATCTAATCACTGACTTTATGCTCTAGTTTACTTCAGTCATATTACCAAGCCATATATATCTTGCTCTGTTGTGAACTAATTTTAACAGCTATGTCGTAGTGTAGTTCTAACACCTACCTAAAAAGGTCTGTGGGACATATCATGTTGCTGTGCACATCTACGAAATTTTCACACTCTTACAGGGTCCCCTCACCCGAGGCGATTTTGTAGTAATAAACCAGCTGTTTATGAGATATTGAAGATTCATGTTTGGAAAGAAAAAGCTCTGGTATTAATCATGAATTTCTATTAACAATACATGTTATTTAGTTTTAAACAACATTTCAAGATTTGACACATAACAACTTCAGTAATTGACTATCATTTTATGTATTTAACACACAACCAAACTTACAAGTTATTCTAACTGCTTGTAGAATATGTTAAATATATATGTAATTACACCAGTAGTAGGTAACATTATGCAGGTACTTATGTGTACTTTTTAAAAAAAAAGTATTCTCTGTCATATAATTACTTACTTTTACAGAACACTTGTAAGCCATCTTTATTTTGAAGCGAGACTAGATTTTTTTCACTCTGACATGAATTGTTATAAAAAATTCTACATTATTTGTAATTTCAGAATTATGATATATTCTACTAAAGAGAACATCAAAACATTATGATTTTGAATGTATTGTTGGGTCTAAACGGGAATTCTTTTTCTGAATCTTGGAATTTTGAACTTTGAGTTGCATAAATTTTGGCCATGGACTTGGTAGAAGGTTGGCAAGTGTTGATATCATGACCTCCATATATATAGTCTATGTTATGAACTTGTCATTGATCATTCCTCTACTGAAGCTGGAAACAAGTTGAGCTCATGAATTGTCAGATATTGATTCAATCAAAAATGAAAGATGTCTTTAAGTCTGATGTCACTATGTCAGGTATCAAATCAATTCAATTTAGTTATGTGGTAAACAAATTTATTTATGAAATATATTTAAATAAGTTGTATTTTATCCTTCTGTGATCAGCAATGATGAAAAGTTCTACACAAATTTGATAAATCTTGCATGAAATGGACACTCATGTTATACATTACAGTATCCTGTATTCATTCCACGTGAATCAGAAATATTTTCTGTTCCAGAATGTTTACGTCATTCTAGGTTTACAAATAAACTACACGTGGCGATAGAATCAAATGAGCCTTAATTTCCTGTCTCTACTGTTTCTGTCATATGTACTGTTTGTACAAATAAATGTTTATTTTTCGCTTTGTTTATTGTGTTGTTAATTCAATTGTACTACAGGTATATATCAGACTGGTGGTGATAGCCATACAGTGTATATATAAACATACAGATATAGTCAGCAGTCTTCTCTGTAAGAAATAAATATGTCGACCCCCTGGGCTTATTGATGGATTATGATATGACAAACTGCAAAAAGATAACAAAGGTTATTATTTATATTTTATTTCTATATAAGAATCAAAATAAAATCATTTTGAAACTCTTTGTTTCTCTATACAGACTTAATTAGTACATAAGACCTCAAATTTCATGCCGACAGCAGACACAATTGTTATGCCCTGCCTACAAGGCAGAAATATTTGGCATGTTTGATCATAAGTAAAATACAAGGTCAAAATTAACAAGAGAAGAAGAAGCACTAAAATCTAACTACATAAAATAGGTCACAGCTACCTGGTTGCTCAATTTTCAATTCAGTCAATTACAAACAGAGGAAATGCTAACATTGTCAAGTGTAGGTAAACAACAAAATGGATCACGATAATTTATACACTACACTGCAATGATATTACTATGGAGTTTGTGTATATGTAAATAGATTAAGACTTTATTAGAAAAGATTAATTACAATGCTGGTAGATGAACTTGAATAGAGTTACAATAGTCAACAAACTTGAGGATTAGGTACTCAAGTCACTTAGACTAATGCTGAAACTGATGGAGCTCTCCTTCATGCCTGGTAAACAACTCAATAAAGATTAAATAATAAATTCATGATAGTTATAATGACATTGAAGACCTGTAAAATGAATGGGGGAAAAAACCCTGACAGACTGACCGTGTTGAATGACCAATGTTTGGTCTTGGTTTTTAATAATTACACAGGAAATCCATGATATAAGTGGAGATTCACACTTAAAGCATCAATACTGACCAATTACTCTCTGACAAAAAAATGACTATTTCTGTAGCCAGTGTGTCCATTTTTTACCTGTTTCAGACAAGACTACATCAAACACCCAATTGAAAAGCCGTTCGTCCGTGTACCTGACCAGTACAAGAAGCCAGTTGGACTTATGGACAACACCACCTCCTATAAAAAAGATTACATCGGTAAGTTGCATTGATGAGGGTTTAAGATTTACAGTCTCCTCTCTGTCATATTGTAGGCTGGCTTTGTAATCTTCATAACTGAAAATTAGACACAAAAAAAATAATAGCCACATTGTAAAGTTGTCACCATCAGTGAACTAGTTATAGCTACATTGTAAGACAAGTCATTAATTTCTTAGTATTTGCTGATGTTGGGTTGCAATGCATCAGTAAGCAATATGCCCAGGTACTTCAGGCCGAAACTCTGCTCAACACAAGGAGACTGAATTAGTAGAGAGCAATGAGATTACTTTTTTTTTCTTTTCACAAAAATGTACTGGCACTTAATTTCTTGGATAACCATAATAATGTATTATTAGATGTGAAAGGGCTCATAAATAGCCTCGTCTATTTCTCTACACAGTAACGAAAGAGACGGGATCATATCCTTGCACCATTTCCTTACTTTCAAAAAGAGATAAAGAGGTACTAGGAATTTATAAAAACTTGACAGTTTTTTTGTGTATACTGTTATTGCTTTAAAATACTGAACCTTACATACATACTAGGATATGTAATAAAATATTTGTACAAGTAGTGGTTCTCATATCACAGTGTTGGACAGGTAGGTTTATATACAAAGTGGACTCATATATTCATCCTACAGCAAATATTATCCCTGGTTGCCTGGTCACATGGCTTGAGCTTACCTTTCTGATATTTTAAATATTGATCGTGGCAATAGGGAGTTTCACTAATTCTGTATAGCTCTTGTAAAGGAATTGTCAGAGCAGACAAAAGTCGTCAGTGTTACTACAGGTCTACAGTAGATAGCTGAGCCATCTACTCAGGACGACTTATGTATATTGATCTTAAGAAAACAAACCGCTCTTCTGATAGGATTGAATCTCTGTAAAACACTGTGTGGGCAAGGCTCTATTCCAGCAGGCTTTAAGATAATAATCATTTTAAACGTTATTGCAATTAGTTTCATTGATGGACACTTTTTATTTAAACTGCCTTTGTCCTGTAATAAAGAATATCATATATTTGTAGACAGGAAAATGTTTGCGTCAGGTACAAAATGTTACCTGTAGCCATAGCATGTAAAGTATACCTATTACAGGTAGTTGTGTGTCAGTTTTACACATAGGTGTTAAATATCCTGGTACATGGTGAAATGACACTTTAAATTACATGCTATACTTGTACTGAAGGACACGAGAGCCATTTTTATTGATCAGGATAAAAGGAAGAATTTCTCTGCAATATTTACAACACATTCTTAAATACTGGTCATAAAAGTGGAAATAAAGAAAGTTATACTTATGAAACACCTGACGTTTCTGTTGACAACAAATTTCTGGTAGGTTGTACCTACCTTAAGTTTTTCGGGAGACTATATCATAGATCAAATTCTTTCAGCATTATACCGGGTATCAAAGCTACGTAACATTGACCAGAGATCTTAATACATAAAACACGGGGCTAACAAAACCTGACCTTGTATGCCAAGGTATACACCTGTGCTGTAGATAGAGCCTTGTGTGTCATATATTGATCACTGTAAATCTCTCTCTGAAATCTTATAGAAGGTTGGTGACATATATCTATATAAACAGATTTTAAACTGTTAGAACAGTTGCATTTTGATAAAGGAAAATTTATCAAATTTATAATTACATGTATAATTTGATACAAATAACAACTATTTTATAGAATATCTCATTTTCATAAATCATTGTTGAATCAAAAAATATTTGTAGACCTGACTAATTGTCAATAGTCTCTACTAATTGATATTCTGTTATATAATCTATAGTTATAGGCCTGGATCTGATTGTTCATATTTCTGTAAGATGTACATATATAGTTATTTATCTTATATATACTGTACAAAAATGTCAACAGCGATCCAAGTCTTATTTGTTTACCCCACCAGAACGAAGTAACGTGTACACACTGGAGAGGCTAATCAGTGTATTGTATGAGAGCACAGCACAACATACATGGTTGTTTACATGTTGCTAAGGGGTGTGTGTTATGAGTTGAAACTAATCTAGGGGAGACAACTCATACATACTCTGTACTTCACAGAATATAATGTAATTTGATGCAAAGCTTAAGGATTTTTTTTTACATACATTTTAACACTATATGGACTATCAACATGTTCATACAGGAATCTAATACAGAAATAGCTAAAAAATAAAAATTAGAACCTGAATTTCTCTTAACACCATTAGAGATCTTAATGACTTTACTAGACCAGATACCATTAAATTTTGTTATAATATAACAAATATATAACTTTTAGCTGAAAAGCAGGATATTAACTTGAAGAGGAATATATTGTTTCCTGTTACTTAACAATCAGTTTTCCCTTAAGATATTATGTTTGCTTGTTTATGCTTAAGCTTATCTGACACTGAAGTAAATACAGGTTGAGTTTTAGTGCCACTATGTACCTGGAATCAAACCTTATGAGTTATTCATTGACCTGTCTACATAGAAATATTGCTGATATGATGTCCACTTCAGTTAGGTCTCCAGGAATGCAATGTTCACTTACATAAACATTAGTTGTTTTATTTTCTATTGTTTTTTATTTATTTGAATTCCATTACAGAGAAGCGAGGCACACCTGCCAGACCAGTGAAGCTCGACGGACACAGACAAGTATCGGGCAGATTTGAGGGTGAACCAACATACAAATGTAAGAGAACTTTACATGAAAGTTACATGTAGAAAATAAAGTCATACAAAAAAAATTCAGAAAAGAGCAGTGGCATAGATCAACTAAATTAAGGACATGTAAATTTAATAATTAGGGCAATTTGAGTTAAGATTTCCAACTTTCTTAGGTCGACTAGATGAACAGACAAATCAGCCATGGCAGTGATGATTAGAGTAGTCCAAATGTTAGAACTGTTATAATTATAAACACAAAAAAGGAATTTGTTATTTAACAATTCAACACACTTGACATCTATTTGGAATTTCTCTTGGAGAGATTAAAACTCCCATTCCTGAGAAAAGTCCATTTGTGAACAACAACCTAGTACTGGAAAATAAAAGAGAGTATTGTAAACTTCTGGGTGGATTTATTGGGTTCTGAAACTATAAGCAACAAATAATGCCATTTATTTCAAAATCTTAATTTAAAAAATGATAAATTTACCTCCAAAATAGAAAAGATTGGCAAGTGTGGTATAATTTTTATATTAACCAGTATGAAGCATACAAAAACAAGACCAGTAAGAAGATAATTTAATTTTGCAGCTGACTACAAGAAGTGGGACATGTCTGGTCGTGTGGGCCCAGTGTCAAATGCTGATGCCTGGGAGCCACCAAATGCCAGATTTGAGGGCCAGAGTACCATGCATCATGATTATATGCAGCATGCCCAGCCCAGACGGGCCCTCATGAAGCCAGTAGAAGCTTCACGCATGTCTGACCAGCCCTTCTTTGACCGCACTGACTACAGAGACTCCTATATCAAACATCCCATGGAGAAACGATTTGTCCACCCAGCAGAAGGATACAAACCCCCGCAGGCGGCATTCGATGGACAGACAACCTTCAAACGAGATTACCTAGGTCACATTGGGGAAAAGACGCAAAGCTTTAAACCTGAAGGAGTTGCATTCCAATCTGGTGCTCCATTAGAGGATAACACTACAAACCGCAACGACTATAAGAAATGGCCAATGCAACGTCCATTTTACCATGTTCCAGAGCAGTACCAGCCACCAAAGGGGTCAATGGAATCTGACACAACTCATAACACCACCTACAGACAGTTTCCCATCCAAAGGAGCCTAGCCAAGCGTCCAGAATCTGCCAACAAGTCAAGGAGTGCTACATTTGATGGTAGCACCAGTTATGCTAACGACTACATCAAGTGGGACATGGGACAGAAGAACATGCCAATTGTGCGTGATGAGTACCACCCAACTAATGCTCCATTTGAGGGCATGTCAACACAGAAGGCCCATTACATTGCCCATCCACAGCAGCCTTTAAGAAGCTTCAAGCCGGATAACACCGCCCTACAAAGCAATGCCAAATTTGAAGATGGTACAATGTATCGTACCGACTACACACCCAAGAAAATAGGTGTCTGTCCTGCAATTTCTTTGGATGGTCCTTCATCAACTTTTAAATTTACTGAAGTTGACAACAGAGGTCATCGAGTGTATCAGCCAGTGATGGAGACTATCGTCCCACTAAATGCTGCCAGGCAAACTCCCAACAAGTTAACAATGTCTGTTGCATAAGACAGAAAATTAGACATTAGTCCAAAATAGCAATCTAATCATTAAATTGTCTGTGATATGAAAATTGGACCCCATGTTTTGTTGTCACACCAAGTGACTGGTATGATATCTTAGACACGGAGAAAATATGGGTCTTTCTCACTCTGGTTTCTGTCCATCAGTCAGCTCTTAAACAGAGTACAGCAGCTGGCATTGAAATCAGAGTTTCTGATTTTTATGTCACGTTTTTAAAAAGTATATGAAAACTATTACCATGTAATTATATACAACTGGTGGTATCTTTTTCGATATCTTGGGAACAGGATTTAGGCAGTCCTTTACACCTCAAGTTTGAGTGGCAGTGACCTATATTTTCTTGTGATTTGTTAAAGTTTCAGCCAATTATTTTTGAATTGCTGAAACTGGATCAAAGACGATACCAATCCCTTTCCAGATTTCAGGTCTGTTTTGAAATACAAAGGGAAGTAATTCAAATATCTTTTGTTATTGAAATATCACACACTGTACTCTTTGTACTATTGTTTTGTACAGGTAATATTATAGAATAATTAATTGTTTATGAGGATATTTTTATTCCAAAAAGTTTTTTTTGTTTGAAGTTGTAGAATTTTCAAACTTTTTACATCTATATGTAATATTTTTATTTTAACATTACTTCCATTCTTAGACCAGATATGAGTCGTGGAAGTATCACCTTCTGTGTAGTCTTCATAATGTATATATGTAATTGTGCTAATATTAGATGCTTTAATTTGAAGCATTGTTTGTTGCTTAACTATTAGAGGCCAAAGATCTTACATAAATGTGATATATAACATTTTTTTTGGAGAAACATGCAGCTCCTTTAACTGAACATATATATTCGCTTTTAGGGCTGGCAATACAGACATCAATTGATATGTATTACCTCTATTACACTACATACTGCTGAAAACATTAATTCCTGACTTGTTCACAATATACACTTAGATACAATTTTTTGCACTCTCTGCTATAAAACACTTTCAGTTCTTTATTCTATGTGTCATTGTTCCTTGTCGTGACTACTGTTAAAATTGTCAATACTTTGAGAAATATTTCAGATTCAAAAATCAATTCCTTCAGTTGTTGTATAACTCAGGGTCACAAATTCTCACTGAGATATAATGTTGCCTTCCAATTGAGTAATATTATTAAATTTGCATTTCTGTGCTTTATGTAACCTTAATAAATATTTAACTACAATTTTTTCAGCAGAAAACCATGTCATAGCTATTAATATATAAATTTTACAGATTATATTTGTGTTTTATGCTTTATTCTGTTTAACAATTGCACATTTTATTTATAAAAGTGCGATATCAGATCACATGATAGACAACATTCTCCCCTGGAGTATATGCAGTAAGTGTAACACCCTGAATTTCACTAGCCACTTTAGTTATGGAGTAGATTAAGTCGGAGATGACAAGATATTATATGTGTTATTTATATCCTGTTAGCGTACAATTTTAGTTACTGGGTATTTATTTGTAGAACCATTTTTCTGTGATATATTCAGACTTTGTTTTAAACCCAAGATGATGGATACATTGGTATCAAGATGAATTTAAAGTGTGCCTGTATATAAATTTCTGTGATAGCAGAGAGAAAGTTTTCTCTAAATATTGCCTGTTTACCTTTGTCTCCATCATCTTTCGATATTGAGTCACAGTGACCTAGTTTATATTTTACAAAGTTATTTTATGAAATATAAACAAGTGGTCAATTTCTATGGCATTTGGGTAATGTAAATAAATGCTTTTGACTTCATTTGTAAAGAAATTATGTAAAAATTAACATATTTCATTTCATTGGTATATTCATCTAATCTGGAAAATAAATAAATACCTGCCTGATAGATCAGTCTTGTTTTTGTCTTTATCTTACTGTTGACATTGATTTAGCAATAAGCTCATACCTGATGATAAGTCCCTACATTATTTCATTGTCCTATAATAAGCCCACCCTATGACTTGGGGTAGGAATTTGTACATCAATCAATGTTAGTTCCCTAAGGCCCTCCATCTGTTGCTTTCAGCAAAATTACAAACGAATATGATTTCATTGTCCTATAATAAGCCAACCTCTGTTTTTGGGGTAGAAATGTGTATGTGGTAAGCGGCCGTGTCGTTCGCATCCTTGATGTCTATTTGTGGTAGGTATATACCTTTGATATCAACGATGATTCTGTTTAATTACAGACAAAATATCAGCAATATATTTAAATGTTGTACGATTTGAAAGGGCCTTTGTGGCTTGTTTTGATAGTTGCCGATAAATTCGACCTCATACAAAAATAAGTCGGCCGAGAATGGCGTGAACTCGTTCACAAGGATATTTCAATAGTCAGCTGGAAGATGTCTACTAGAAACTTTGATGTTTTCCTTATTTCACCCTCTGTATATATTTCTTGTTGGTTTACATGTACTTTTCACGAAATGTGCTCCAGAATAGTTTAGCAAGAATAGAAGGCTCTCCTAACCTCATCATTGATGAGACCTGTACTTTGAAATGGGGTAGTGCACAGGGTGGAAAAGCATATGTTCTTTGAGCAGGGTGTCCAAGATTAGTAAAATGTTCTTTGAAGTTCTTTAAAATCCACATAACATTTATACCTTTTCGGGGAAAACAGTTCATAAAAAGAGTTTAACTCTGATGTCGAGCTAGACTAAAGATATAAAAAGAGAAAGAAAAGGAAAGGACGAAGTAGGGTTGTTATTAATGTATCTAATTGTAATTCTATTGTTGGTAGCAGTGAATTGTGAATAATTGTAATTGGTATGAACTGTACTGTTGACGTACAGTTATCTTTGGCAGAGTTTTGGTGTAAAATATTGCTGATGTTGATAGAATCTACATCTACTTCTTTAGTTTTAGGTGTTATTTTCCCAATAAAATCCCATTGTTGTGTAGCAAATGCAGCAACAAGTAAGTGTTTTTCGGTTTTATCATATTAGATTTCAGCTTTCCGCCTTTACGAGAAATATGAACATATGATAAGAATACAGCCTCAGCACAGAGCAGCAGTGGCACTGTCAGCCCAATTTATTGTTTGTAGTTAAAAAAAGATTTTAAGATTGCAACAACACTTAATTCCAAATTCATTGAAAAAAAACTAACAGTCATGCACACCACCAAGTTTCAGTAAAACGTTTTAAGTGGAGTCTAAACCTCTTAGTCGAAAGTAAAATAATATAAAAAATAAATAAATAAACAGACCACACACACATACACACGGATTGTTAATAGCTTGCCCGATATATTGATGTGAAGTAAGTGACAGAGAAAGCTTACCAGAAACATACTAATTGGGAACTCCATTTGAATAAGATTGATAAATTATCTGAATTAACCTTATTGCTACCGTTGCTTCTGTATGCTGTAGTGCTGTTTAGTGAACAACTTACACCGAATTCGTCTTACCCTTTGTTTGAAACATCCATGAGACCAACATTTTGTTTTTCGTGTTTTCTATTTAGTATCAAGAACAGGGGGCCCTACACCAAATATTTTATATAAAGAAAAGTTCACTTGAGATGGACGGACATATTGAATGCAAAGAACGACAACTTTATATAGAATTCAACTATTCCCATACTGCCTCCATCCTTACAGTCCTAAGGTTTGTTACTGACGTACCTTCCGCCGTTGTTCGACTGATCCCAGGACCTGTATGTGATCGCGCCAACAACGTGTGCCCCCTATTAATAACACTTGGCACGGTCCGCAGGGGAGTGTAGTCAGGCAGAAATTCTGGAGTAGCTGCTGAGCTGTTCTCTACTAATCTACTGCCCAACTTCCTGACCAGACGCCCAAAACCTCAATATGTTAAATTGCCAAAAAGGAGTTGTTCAAATTATTTTGTTCCTTCATATTTTGAAAACTGACGGGCACAGACTTTTGTAGTTATGGAAACTAGACAATAGGTTTTAACCCATATTAAAATATGCTTGTTGTGTTTACATGTTCCTGATGCCCTTTGTTATATGTTCGCCGTATCTGGCAAAAATTTTTAGGTCTGAAACCAATGAAATAGACAAATGTGCGTATCTGCTTTAATTTCTTTTCTTGTGAGCCCGCTTGACTAAATGCTGTGATGTATGTAATATTGTTGAATTATTGAAAAGAAATATTTTTAAATCCATGCTATTGACTGATTGAGAGTGAATCTATTCAATGTCGGAGCAAAATTAAACTCGCGTGTTAAAAAAATCTCAAGTTTGTTAAACGAGGTCAAATTCAAACGGACATTATGGAAGGTACAAGACAAAAGATTAGGTGTCCAGGACAGAGAAGCATATTCTCTATCATCGACGACACCGTTATAATTTAAACATATTGCAAATAAACTAATGTCACTTTCTCAAAGCAAGAACCGTGATAGCAACAATAAACATCACATTCACCGGCCCTGATACCCTGAAATCTTATTTTATACAAAATAGTGGACATCCAAAGTGATCTTACAGCTATCTTCACCTATTCAACAGCTTTGCGGATAAGATGGGAAGTATCAAATTGTTTTACTTTATTCATTTTCCAAATTTAGTTTACTTTATATGTATATTTGGATCCTAACTGAACGTCGAATCCTTTTGAATGACTGCAGTATGAAAATGTTGTTTTATATACTTTTGCGTTCAAAAGTTCTTTAAACAATCTCTTAGTAAACCATGCAGAAACAAAACGACCAATAGTGACGGCTGATATACCGCGCCAACAGGTGCAGGCCGACTTACATCAGTCATACATCATACCCCTACTAAATAATAGTGTAACTTTAATATCGTCAATCACAGAAGATAATCCGACAGTGCGTTGTATTACTGCCTATAAAAAGTTATTATAGCCATGCTACCGTGGAGTCCTGATAACACATGCGTATTATACTGTTTTAATATAAAATTTGATATTCACCACCATCCACACGAATATCCCCTCCAAGCTTTGCCCTTCCGCTACCTCGTCATTTAAAAACGGTTTACCTCGCGTTCTGTTGTCTTGTTAGAAAACACATGTAGCGTTTATCAATTTTGTAATTTCCTGTTACCCGTATTTTAATTTCGTAAAATATACATGTACAATATTTACAGAAAGCAGACACAATGCACGGAAGTTAAGAGAGGAGGTGCTACTACAAGGATAACAATGATAGTCGAGGGATGACATCGTGACGAGTCGTTGAACAGGTAAGTAAAATTTATCTATTAATCAGCATGCCAATCGGACCACTTTATCAATAACTCTGACGTTATTTTTATATTTTTTGGTACAAAGGGGGTTCAATAGTCGATATTGTTTTCACATAGTCAATTTCGATCAATGCCGATCGCTCGAAAATAAATTTTGTCCATTACACAAAACATAACAATAATTACACTCAGCATATTTGTTTGATTTGGCGCCGAATGACATACTTGACTTTCCAAGAATTGGGTATAAAGACGATTAACGAAATAAACTTCCAGTTTTGACGATTTACAATAACGTATTTCCTTTAAAGACAACTACTAAAAAGAAACTGACATTTAAGCTAAACCAGGTTCTTTTGTGTAAGTTTTTTTCTAATTTACCTTTTAACTCGGAGGAATTAAAAAGTCATTTCAGGTCCATTTTGTAGGTGGTCAAATGTTAGTTTGGTAACCACAACTCATGCCATTTGGTTTGTCCTGTTCGGGGGAGGGGCAATGAATTATTAAATCTGTACAGACCAAAGTCAAAAGTTGAAGAACCATATTTTTTTCAAGTGAACGACATACTGATTGACAAAAACGTGTAGTCTATAAAAACGTCATTTTCAGGCATCTTTAAGTTTCCGGGTAGTCATCTCAAGACCCATATGACCAATTAGATACATGCATAATTACCCTGAGAACGGATCCTTTTCTACATTGAAATAAGGCACAGCAGGGTTTAAATTAATATTTCTTTCTGTGCATGTGAGGTTTTGTGTGTGTGTGTGTGTGTGTGTGTGTGTGTGTTGGGGGGGGGGGGGGGGGGTTACACATAATTGATATTTATCAATTCATTTTGGCACATTCCGTTACCTCTGGACAGATATCGAAGTTTATACACGATGTTGTTGCCGACATATTAGAGTATTTAATACGACGGCCTATAATGTGCCGCTCCGAACTGTAGGTTTGGGTGGACCCCCTATTCGATACGCTTAGTGATGATAAATGGTCGTATTTATTACTCTAAAGACAGATAGCGCTGTGGTGATGTAGCCATCGTGCAATCTCTCATCTAACCTTACCCTGCTCATCTCCTGGCCTCGTCTTCGTTTCCACCAGATTACACACCTCTCTCACCAGCTCTTATAGCCGCTACAATCTGTTTACTTGTCCTATAAAATGACACACTAACGTGCAATCATACTGTTTATTTCCGAATGAGATATTTGTTATGATTATTGCTCGTTAAAGTTTTTATTGATAAATAAATAAGCACCCCTCTGACCGCACGTGCATGCCTGATATGTTTTCCAATGTCACACTCCCATAATTAATATTCTATAAATAGACGCCAAATTAGTGGCACGTGTCAACATGCATTTTACTGCATTAACGAGAGGTTTACAACTTCATCTCTCCACCAGTTTACTCAAAAATGTAATGTTTATCACCGAAGGTTTTACTGACATGTTTTGCACGGGTGCGTGTTACTCTTTATTGTTTACAAGTTATCACTGTGATTTTTTTCTTCGCTTATACCAGATACATGCTTTTATCAGCATTGTAACATATCTTAAAGCACAGTAAGTGTGATAAAAGAATGTAGATGTTATCCAGTTTTTGTACCAAAGGTTAAGAAAGCATATTCTTAACATCATTTTCTTGTGTGTGTGTTTCAGAAGTAAAAAGGTGACAATGGAGAGAATCGAAAAACAAGTAGTCTCCATGGAGAAAACTTTGGATTCCGCCAGAAGGTGGCGCTCGTTCTCAGTGTGTTTACTAATTGTGATTATATTCCTTCTGGCAGCAATCGCTACCTCTATAGTATATTATGAACTGATTATGCGCACAAAGAAACTTTCCCGTCACACTAATATACAGGAGACAACTGCTGTCGAAGAGGAACCAACAGATCCACCGATGTTTCGCGATTTAACACAGGTAGAACTTAAAAGACTGAAGAGATACTTACACGAGCATGGCGACTTCAACCTAAAACATAACAAACCTATTGTAAGCTCGAGCTTCCTGTTTCTATCTGAATTACACCTCCCTAACAAATCACAGGCCTTGGAAACATTAGATAAGCACCATAATGCGCCGCCTAGAGAGGCAAAAGTTGTGCTATTCAGAGGAGACAAGAAGATTCCTGTTATTGAAGAATATGTTGTTGGACCGCTAGCCAACATAACGTATCACCGTTTGCTTGTGTCCAAACATTACCAAAGACCGGCGCCATATCTTTTCAGACCGAACAGTAAAGCGGAATACCTCGAGGTAAAGAAACTGCTGACTGATGTTGATGAAGTTATCAAGCACGTTTTACTGGAAAGTTATGATGCGCGCTTCTTCAGTTGTGACCGGAAGTGTTTAGTCTTACATCGATGGACAGTTGTCTCCCCTACTGTTTCGGGAATCGACGTTCGTAAAGTTTGGTACTGGGCACACCACTTCACCGAGTATTATCTCTTAAATCCTGTTGATTTCTTTATTCTCTTTAATCTTGATGGAAATGATCCCAGCCAGTTTCATGTCGAAACCATCTGGTATAACGGACAGCATTTCGATACGGCTGAGAATTTAGCAGATGCTTTCACTGCGGGTACTGTCAAGAAATCATCAATAATATTTCCCAAAGAAAATCCTATGCACTTTGCCACCCTTAATTTAAGAGGGAATCAGTTTCCAGAGAAGAATATGCGTAGCCCTAAACAGGTGGAACCAGACGGCAGGCGTTACTACCGGAATGACAGACATGTTACGTATATGGGTTGGGCGTTTGACTTTCGGATGTCTACTACAACTGGACCTCAGCTATTTGACATCAAACACATGGGACGTCGAATTGTTTACGAGCTAAGTCTTCAGGAAATATCGTCTTTCCACTCCGGGTTTAAACCTTGGAACAGATATTCTGATATGCTATACAGTAATAGTCTCTTGGGATATCAAGCTCGTGATCTTGTTCCGGGAGCAGATTGTCCCAACTCTGCCTCCTTCATCAGTGCTACTCACTGGACAGAACACCGAAGTGACCCTGTCACGTATGAACGTGCGTTCTGCCTCTTTGAACATAGTACTGGCGAGCCATTGAGGCGCCACCACGCGTACGATAGAATGACCGGTCGATTCTATGGCTCTCTAGAAGATATTGTCCTAGTTCTCAGGGCTATCATATCAGTGAATAATCAGGATTGCATTGTGGATTTTATTTTTCACCAAAATGGTGCTTTAGAAGTGAAAACCTCATTAACCGGTTATATGATGGCTATGCTTCACTCACCTCCAGAAGGAAGGTATGGTTTTAAACTCCGCGATAGACTCATTGGAACGATAAGTCAACACGCATTCAATTTTAAAGTTGATTTGGATATTCACGACATTAAAAACCGCTATGAGACATTACAGTTTGAACCTCATATCATCAACAATAATGATTGGTCGGTAGAAAAGAATTCAAGATACCAACAAATCAAATTTACAAGGAATTCAAAAATGACAGAACTACAAACGTTGTATCGAAAAAATACTAGCCTTCCTCTATATCATATATTTTACAACAAAGATTATAGAACTACGTACAATGACGCGAGGGCGTATCGGATACAGATCGATGGCGGACTAACACATCTACTGTCACAAGGTATCGCCAATGAGCCGTCGATATCTTGGGCGCGGTATCAGATGGCGGTGACGCGCCGGAAAGACGATGAGGGACAAAGTAGTTCGATTTACGCAATGTGGGATAGGAAAGAACCAATTGTCAATTTTCAGAGTTTCCTTGACGACAACGAAAATGTTGTTGATACAGTAAGTATTCAAGAAGACACGTGCTTCAAGGGATTATAAAATGCACTTTACATATAGAATAGAGTTTCTTAAACATCTTAAATATATTACCAGGCAGTGTAACCTCTAGACATACGAAAGAACATCAATCTCCTCTAACTTCAAGTCGAACAAGATAAAGAATATGATCTAACATCATAGTGGACACAAAATATTTGTCACCAACCAGCATCTGTTTTGTATAACACATTTATCATCGATCTTTGTCACGACAATCTTGATATTTAGAGCAAACTAAAAACCATATACACAGAAACAACATATATCAACACCATAGGTTGGAGAAGCTGGATTGTTACTTTCCAGTAAAGGGAATTTCATATCGGTGTAATCGAAATCCTCAAGTATAGATATAAGATATCTCTAGAACATAAAAGTTTCGAAATAAAAATATTCTGTCACATACAGATTATTGAATACAGAATCAACGTTGCTCAATGAATGATGCTTAGTTTACAGTTATCCGTATTCTTACCCAAATATACCATTGAAAAGGCCTTGATTTTTCTTCTTTTTTTAATACGCACGGATTACGTGTCACAACACTGAAATCGTAATGACATATAATGCCAAACAATTGATGGTTTTTTTATCAGTCATCTACAAGCTAGTCTGAAAAGTGATATATAGATTATTATATCTGCCATTTATGAACTGATCTAGTATGGATTATATCGAAATATACTAAAAAATATCCATGCAACGCGAAATATAATATATTCTTTACACCAGTAATTTATATAACCATTTACGTACAATTCACCCTCCTGAAAATGAATTTAAGGATACTGGAAACTGGATTGGGTGGAAACTGATGGGTCTATTTTCACAACGCTTTACTTTTCTTTCCTAAATCATTAACATCCATCATCTTCTGTTGTTTTTTTTTATTTTATATTCTTTGCTTATAATGTTTACAGCTTGTGATGTACTATTTATATTTAATGTTGTAATGGTATTAGGATTTTCTTAATAGTCCTTTCTAAAAAAATCCTCCTCACTCACCTGATTTTGGAGCATGTTATGACACATTACCACAAGCTCTTGTGAAAACGTTGAAACGTTTCATGTTCATTTTTAAAAAATGGCACCTGTTTTGACCCTTATATGATGGGATGTGATCCCCGGTGGCACGTTTAGAAGAAATGTCGGAAAACCAAGGATGCAAAGTTTTAATGTTCACACTTCAGTACACTATCATTGACCATGCGCAATGGGTTGGTTTATCATAGTCTGATACTTTTCTTTGTGTTCTTAACAGGATCTAGTTGCCTGGGTAACACTGGGACTTCATCACCTACCACAGATGGAGGATCTACCACTTATTTCATCTGTTGGCAAGCGGCTATCTTTCTTTTTAACTCCATTCAACTATCACGACTCCGATCCATCCATGGCGTCAAGAGATGCAATACGCATGTCTTATGAAGAGACTTCCGGTTCCGATCACATTGTTAGGGTTGAAAATTATGGATTGCCGAAAGATTTTTCGTGCGATTCTGAATTCCAAGAAAATTCTTACTTCAATACTTCTGAATTATTTGAACAAACATAACTTCAACACTTGGTCATTATTTAAATAAATTAATATATTTCAAGGACTATTGCCTCATTTTATGTATAAATGACGTTGAATCAAATGAAACCGCAGACTTTCCTTTAATATGCAGCTATTTACACGGGGTACCATGAGTTACGCCCCCTTAGCACTAATCGAGTTGTAGACCCGTGAACGCAAAAGCAGACTGGGGTCAGTAATTGATGAGTAATTTTATCAGACTTGGGCTCGGAGACCCGTACAGGGTCATATCAGTATCTGTTGTACCTATTAAACTAAAGAAAAGAAGAAAAATGATTACAAGTTGGTTAATCACAGCATTTTAAAAAAGAAATTACAGTGGCAATGCTTTTATCCAATACAAATACATAGTACAGGGAAAATCTCAAATTCATTGAACTCGTACATTTTATTTTTCACTCTGATTTATGACAAACACTTATAAATATAGGTCAATGAGTCAATTTATTTATGTAATCCACTTGCTTGGTTGTTACAATATCAGTCAATGGTCTTAATTTTCAAACAACAAATCCAATATGATGATATACAATGTACTAAACGCGATACTAGCCCGCCAACATAATTAAATCTTCTTTTAACAAAGTCTTGAATGTCAACTATGTCAAGTAAATTCAGAAACGTATTTCTTCTTTTCCTAGTTCAAATGCAACAAAATGCATGTTTGTATCTATTTTGATATTTGGTTATCATGATTGTCTAGAAACGTGCTAATTATAACGTATAAATTGATATTTTCTATACGATTGTTGTATTATGGAATATTTTGAATTGAAATACTGTATTAATGATAGTTAATTAGTGTTGCTGTCTTTATATACCATTCTCCTAGTAACTCTTTACAAAACAAACAGTATAGTAGAAATCTCAATTTTCAAATTGATCTCGCCAATTTTATGACAAAATTTTCTCTGTACTTTGATTTTTTTAAAAAACAAAACGCGAGTTTGAGCTATTCACAACTGAAATATCACCCTTTATCGCAGAAAGTAATTTGTCAGGCTACTTTCGTCAAACTTCATCAATCAAGTAAGACTATTTAGATTTGTTATTCATGTTTGTTGAAAGTTTTGTTACAATTTGCGTAGTGAGAATCATTTGGGGAGCGATTGCAAACAACTGTAGCAGTTGACTGATTCGTCGTATTTGCTATCTGAATGTTTTACATAAATACATATATTTCTAATATCTGAATAACTGGTGAAATAAATGTAGTCTATAGAGTTTCATAAACTGAAAAAAAAAAAGAAACAAAACTGTCGATTTATCAGTAGGCGTTTGTAACTATATTTCCCTGGCGGAGCAGATATGCCACATGCTCGACCATGGACCAGTCAAAGCTCATCGTTCGGGAATAAATACAAGGGAATTAAGACATCATGTTCCAGAAAGGTAAGCGTCTTCTGCTTGGTTGATTCAGGTAAGAAATATTACGTTCCTAAATGAGAGCAAGGAAAATATCGAAACCACCAGGCATACTAACTAGCACCAAACACGTCCAACGCCATATCATGAAAAGATGTTATGACTGTCTTTAATACGTTTGAGTACGATTGTTACCGGTATGTTATATCAACGTTTGTCTAATAGACATTTACATTAACGGAACGGACACTGATATTGTTGTAATGATGTTAAAATAATCTTAGGTTACAAATATGTATAAAATAAACAGAGAGGAAAAAATCGTTTGAGTTGAATCATTATACATAGCTTTATATATTGTAAAAATGTACGTATAATCATTTCAGTCGTGGAACAAATGTTTGGACTTCTCCTAATAAGAAATTTAACAGCTGACGCGGAATGCTTAATTAAAATTATTGCCATCATCCTCAAATATTTTTGCTTTCAGTTAACGAAGATTGCACAAACGGCATGCAAGTTAAAAGCACCTTTTGATACAAATTTAGAAGGAACAGTGAAGCCAAATAATGGATTAAACTGCATCACACAGCTGTTTCGTCTTTCTAGAACTCTTCAGTGATGCTACATCATACAGCTGTTTCGTCCTTCTAGGACTCTTCAGTGATGCTACATCATACAGCTGTTTCGTCCTTCTAGGACTCTTCAGTGATGCTACATCAAACAGCTGTTTCGTCCTTCTAGGTCCCTTCAGTGATGCTACATCATACAGCTGTTTCGTCCTTCTAGGTCTCATCAGTGATGCTACATCATACAGCTTTTTCGTCCTTCTAGGACTCTTCAGTGATGCTACATCATACAGCTTTTTCGTCCTTCTAGGTCTCATCAGCGATGCTAAGGGCCTAAAGTTTAAAGTTTAAAACATAAGGAAGTCCAAAATGATCGAAATATATAAAAATTTAGATGGGAAGGTGGATTATTCCTGTATGTACGTTCTGTCACATCCCCTCACGCTAATTTAAGTTTTACTTACTGTGTTTTATTTCACGATACGTATGCTTTACAGCTTTTCAGAAAAAAATATTTCATCTTGACCACATGAGTAAGGATGTTCGTTTTTAACGTCAGTTCTGGAACATTGGTCTTAATTAGAAGAGATATATCATCCTGATGACCAAATATGATAGAAATATTATAGAAAAAACGGCAATATTTAATTTTATAATACTAAAATTAATCGATAACTCATAATTATACTATATAACTATGATATATAACTATAATATATAACTACAGTATAATATAACTTTAATTCATGTTTCAATGTATAACTATCATATCTGGTAGAGAAGTCGTTTTGGTTTCAAACTTCGTTCTACGTATGTAGCTAAATAAAAAGCCATTGTATTTGTGTCGTCCAATAATCAAACATCGTACAGGGTACATGGTTTTGTGTCGTCACATGATCAAACATCATACAGGTACATGGTTGTGTGTCTTCAAATGATCAAACATCGTACAGGTACATGGTTGTGTGTCTTCAAATGATCAAACATTGTACAGGGTCCATGGTTTTGTGTCGTCCAGTGATCAAACATTGTACAGGGTCCATGGTTTTGTGTCGTCCAGTGATCAAACATTGTACAGGGTACATGGTTTGGTGTCGTCCAGTGATCAAACATTGTACAGGGTCCATGGTTTTGTGTTGTCACATGATCAAACATCGTACAGGTACATGGTTTTGTGTCTTCAAATGATCAAACATTGTACAGGGTCCATGGTTTTGTGTCGTCCAGTGATCAAACATTGTACAGGGTACATGGTTTTGTGTCGTCCAGTGATCAAACATTGTACAGGGTCCATGGTTTTGTGTCGTCACATGATCAAACATCGTAGAGAGTACGTGGTTTTGTGTTGTCACATGATCAAACATTGTACAGGGTACATGGTTTTGTGTCATCACATGATCAAACATCGTACAGGGTACATGGTTGTGTATCTTCAAGTGATCAAACATTGTACAGGGTCCATGGTTTTGTGTCGTCACATGATCAAACATCGTAGAGAGTACGTGGTTTTGTGTCGTCCAATGATCGAACATCGTACAGGGTACATGGTTGTGTATCTTCAAGTGATCAAACATTGTACAGGGTCCATGGTTTTGTGTCGTCACATGATCAAACATCGTAGAGAGCACATGGTTTTGTGTTGTCACATGATCAAACATCGTACAGGGTACATGGTTTTGTGTCGTCAAGTAATCAACAGAGGTTTCCGCGACGTTTCGCAATGATTAATTGGTGTTCCTGCTTCAACCTCACCAAAACCTGTTTTAAGTAAACAATGCCAGATAGCAGTATGATCCTACAGGTGTATAGATGTGAGGCGTTTTACTATCCTACTAGAAGAAATGCGTGAGATTCAAAATAAATCATCCTGGTTCCATCTTTCAGTTTACTTTTATCCTTTGGATCAATGCAGACCGAACTCTTTGATGTCTTGGGCCCTCTGTAAAGCAGGAGAGAATGAAATAAAAACAAAACAACCCATTTTCACACAAGCCACCAAGACCTGTATAACAAACCACGAAGAGTTATCTTTCTTCAGTCGGCAAATCTAGATAATCGACGCTTTCGAAGTCATGGTATTGTCTGATAATTATAATACATGTACATTACAGACGAGTCATTTAACCCGGTTAAGTTTATAGCATCAGTCAGTTTGTACATCTAAAATGATAGATTGAGTGTTAACAAGCTGTCATACTATTTTTAGATTTGCATTCTGTCATATATGCGAACAATTCTAAATAAAATGTCATGGAAACGATTAACACAATCTCGACCTCGAACACACATCGACCACATGTAACTGCATGATGAGTGTGGTGATTTCAGTTTTCCTATTGTGAATATTTTGTTTCTGGATAGCAACAACAAGCATCCCAAACCTTTGGTGAGTACATGTCGAATTTGATTCGATAGTCAAGGGTCTATTCCCATTATCACGATTTTCGTGCAAGGAGTCATAAACGAGAAATTTACAGTCGTCATAGTGATGTATATCTTTGTGCTATATAAAGCTGGTCGTGTTTCATGTAAATATAATCATAAGCTAAACTGAAATTAAATAAATCCAAACTATCAACACAAGAAATATTTACTGACTCATGAAGAAGAACAAGGAGAATAAGACAGAGGGCCTCATCTGCGACTCCCGCCATGTAAACCTTTATCAATTCAAGTAAGTAATGTCTAGTAAAGTCCTGAATGAGCGGTTGATATAGAGGAGTCTGCAGTGTCCTTGATTTCTATTCGTGTGTGTTTCTATATATATATATATATATATATGTGTGTGTGTGAGTATATACCAGTGAGCATCGAACAATCCTAACTTGACATCGTATATATATATATCTGTGTGTGTGTGTGTGTGAGGGTGTGTGTGTGTGTGTGTGTGTGTGTGTGAGTATATACCAGTGAGCATCGAACAATCCTAACTTGACATTGTATCTATTACTGCCGTATAACATTATCATGGTGACATGGACCGGTATCTCTCAAAAGTTTGTGCTGTCAGTATATCTGTTAGCTGGCAATATCTTTCAATCC